ATTTAACACATACTATTCTCATTATTGTTTGGTTCTGAATGTTTTCTAATATCCATTAATATTTCTTCTTTGACCAACAAATCATTTGAACGTATGTTTCTTAGTTTCTAAATTTTTCAAATCATCTTCTATCTAGTTTAGATAGATAGATGCTAGTTGTATTTAGATAAGTGATTTGGATAACTAGAGACTTCATTGTATTGTGATTGGTGTTCACGGTCTGATACCAGTTTTTGTTATGTGTTAAAATCTGCTTTATGTCATAGCACGTGGTCACTTGCTATAAGAGTTCTAGATGTGGGTTATGAGGAATATGTATTCTTCTTCTCTCAATCTATGTATGACCATTAGATCAGCTTGTTCATTTTGTTGTTTATATCTTCTGTTTCCTTGCTGATTTTTCTGCCTGCTTGATCTTTATTTAGAGAGGTTTATTTAAAAATCTCCCATTATGATGATGGACATTTCTTGCTTTCTGCAGTTCTGTCAGTTTTGTATTAATAATTTTGAGACTAAGTTATTAAATATATACCAATTTAGAATTACTATATTTCTGATGAGTTAAAACATATAATTTTATTGTGATCCTTTCTAGTATTGCTTTTTACTTTAAAGTCTATAGGCTACAATATATCAGGTTCTTTCCATTAATATATCATCTTATATATTCCTATGTATTATATATAATATATTAATATATTGCCCTGTTTTATTTTCTCATCCCTTTACTTTCATCATTGACAAATCTTTGTATTTTAGATGTGTCTTTTGTGAACAACACATTGGATTTCATTTGTTTTTGTTTTTTTTTTTTTTCAGCTTGATAGTCTTTTTCTTTTAGCTGGCAATTTTAGTCCATTTATGTTTATTATCAAGCACTGATATAGTTTATCTCTGTAATATCATGCTTCTTTTTCTCATCTTTCCTTCTTTTAGATTAATTGTGGTTTTTGTTTGTTTAGATTATCATTATTATTCCCTTGACCTCTGAAGATCTCCTCACTGAGTATATAATCCTACTTGACAGTTATTTTCTGTCAGCTCATTGACGTATGTACTGGCTTCTCTTGGTGTAAAGGTGGTAGTTAGCCTAATCATAATTCCTCTGAAAGAAATCTTATTTAAGATCTCTCTTTGTCTTTGGTCTTGTATGGTTTTGATGTCTATTTGCACACTTGTTTTTGGTTACATTTCTTGAGATACCATGGAATTTCTAATATGACAAATAAAAGCTTTCATAAATTCTGGGAAATTCTCAGTAAGGATTTTTTGTTTGTTTTGTTTTTAAATATTGCCTCTCATTCTCTCACTCTTCTCCTTAGGAACTCAGGTTATACAGATATCTACAAGACCTTCCCATTTTCTCTCCCATGTGTCTTAAATATTTTAATTTTAACTAAGTTCTGCACTCAAACGTGGGATCTCAAACTCTGAGATCAAGAGTCGCACACTCCATGGACTGAGCCAGTGAGGCACTGCTCCCGTGTGTTTTAATCTATCTGTCTTTCGTGTTTCCTTCTCTGTCCTTCTATGCTGTCTGGACAATTTTGTATTTACAGTAGTATTTTTCTTCTCCAGAAGCTCATTTAGTTCTTTTTCAGTTCTGTGTGTTCTTTTCTAATATTTTCATTTTCTTTTTTTTTTTTTAAGATTTTATTTATTTATTTGACAGAGAGAGAGATCACAAGTAGAGAGGCAGGCAGGGGGCGGGGGGGAAGCAGGCTCCCTGCTGAGTAGAGAGCCCGATGCGGGGCTCAATCCCAGGACCCTGAGATCATGACCTGAGCTGAAGGCAGAGGCTTTAACCCACTGAGCCACCCAGGCGCCCCTATTTTCATTTTCTTTTCTTCTTTTTTTTTTGTTTCCTTAAATGTAGTCAATATACTTACATTTCTTGCTTAATAATTCTAGAATCTGAATTCTTTGCAGGTCTGGTTCTGTTTGGTATTCCCTCCACCCCTCCACCCCGCCCCCACACCTTACAGGCTCTCTGGTTTGTGTTTATAGTAATTTGATTTCTTATATATTTTGTGATTTACTTATTTTTATTTATTTATTTATTTGATTATTTGATTTTTCCATGTGAAACTGAGGAACAGTCTGTCTGAGAAGGCTGGCTTTGAGGTATCTTCCTCCAGAAAGGATTAGTATTTGCTTTTCCCAGGTGCCTAAGGCCACTACCAACCTGCAAATACTTCAACTGTGTTCTCAAACTGGAAGGTTTTCAGACCACACAAGTAGTTTTAGCTGCAAGCCCCTATGTGGGACAGCTTATAGTTATAAATTCTCAGGAGGTTTCTTTTCTCTACCTTGTACCCAGTCTTAAGACAGACCATTATCTTTGCTATCCTTAGCTTGGGGGTAGAACTTATTCCTAATTTGCCCTTGAACAGATCCCTTTGGGAATTCAAGCTTCTTGCATCACATCTTTTGTTAGATTTCCCATCTTGAGTTAGCCATAGGTTTTTCCTCCTTTTGCCGTCTCACAAGACATTTAAAAAAACTCAAGAGTCTCCCTGGTTTGTTTACAAGCCTCAGGGTATGAAAATCAGGTTGTGTGCTGTTTACCATTCTGGGTTCTAACTTGAACTTGGCCTCTGACAATTCTTTGCTTTCTTGCTCATGCTGTAATGTGTTTTAAATAATGTTACTACATTTTCCTAATATTTTAATTTTGTTTCCCCAATAGCTTAAAGTGTCTAATCCATTATACTGTAGGAAATAGCAGTCCTATAAAAAGTCTTTACAAGTTCAGCTTTGCTTTTGGCTTTTTGGTGGTTTATTTTTACTTCCTTAGCCTTTCGAGTTTTGTAGGTACAAGTTTAGTTTTAAGAGTCTGTACTTACCATAGACTGTTATGAGTGATTTCTGGTGCTTCTGTTGACATAACCAACAAATATTCATTGAGTACCTATTCACACCAGACATTATTCTAGGAATGGGGGTACAGAAGAAAACAAAATGGACCAAAATTCCTGGCTTCCCACCAAGGAGCTTAAACTCTAGTGGGGAAGACACTGGATATGTAGTACATTTGATGGTGATAATGCTAAGGAGAAATGAAGGAGAGAAGGGACTTTGTATCTTTGGATAGAACAGCTCAGGAATACCTTACTGAGAGGGTAACATTTTTATTTTATTTTTATTTATTTATTTTTAAAAGATTTTATTTATAGACAGAGATCACGAGCAGAGGGAAGGGGCAGAGGGAGAAGCAGAGGGAGAAATTCCTGGCTTCCCACCAAGGAGCTTAAACTCTAGTGGGGAAGACACTGGATATGTAGTACATTAGATGGTGATAATGCTAAGGAGAAATGAAGGAGATAAGGGACTTTGTATTCTTCGGAGAGAACAGCTCAGGAATACCTTACTGAGAGGGTAACATTTTTATTTTATTTTTATTTATTTATTTTTAAAAGATTTTATTTATTAGACAGAGCTCACGAGCAGAGGGAAGGGGCAGAGGGAGAAGCAGACTCCCCGCTAAGCAGGGAGCCCAATGCAGGACTCCATCCCAGGACCCCAGGATCATGACCTGAGTTGAAAGCAGATGCTTAATCGACTGAGCCACCCAGGGGCCTGAGAAGGTAATGTTTTTCAAGCAAAAGCAAAGTGAGCCATGAGTACTCCAGACAGAGAAGACCCACATGTCTTACAAATGTGTAAGAGAATACTAAATGAAAATTCTCTGTGGTTTCATATTTGTTCCACATGTCACATATATTGCTGTTTATTCTTTTTTCTCAGTTTTATCTTAACCCATATTTCTCTGAAGCCAACACTATAATTTTGATTCTCCAGCTAGGAGAACTACCCCCCCCACCTTTTTAAAAGACTCTATTTTATTTATTTTTTGAGAGAAGGGGGAGGAGAAGAGGGAGAAGGAAAGCAGACTCTGCCGAGCACAGAGCCCAGCACAGGGCTCGATCCCATGACCCTGAGATCGTAACCTGAACAGAAATCGGACACTCAACCGGCTGAGCTACCCAGGCACCCCAGAGAACTGACCCTTCTTGAACAAGCCATTTAACCTCTCGAGTCAGTTTTCCCTTGTGTCAAATAACACCACTGCCTGTCTCTCAGAACTGGTAGTGAAATGAGGTAATATTTGTAAAAGTGCCTGACATTTCGTGAGGACCCAAGAAACGAGATTTCCTTCTTTTTTGTTCTTCCTCCCCTGTCCACACTCCTTTCGGCCCTTGTTTTTAGTACTTATTAATAAATTTGCGAGAAGATCCTCATGTAACACCTTGGAGAAACCGTGTGGTAGGTTATTTACTGAAGACAAGTGAAGAACATTAGAAAATTTTGTTTTAAAAAAAGAAACTTTCCAAAGCGGTTTTGAAAGTCTCGGTTCGGTGCTGGGCATTCAGGAGAGAAAGTCAAGCCCTGTGCATTTCCCCCTGGCAGTTCTTGTCTGTTGTATTACCGATCAGCAGCCCCAGGAGATCTCACGTGGCATCTGTGCAGTCTGCAGACTCTCTGGTTACAGCCAGCCTCAAGCAGAGCCGTATCCCATTCCTAGGCGAATACATCCATATTCACCTATCTTCTCTTATCCTGTAACCTAACCTAGCTCTGATTTTGCAGTGTAATTGGGTGAGTTTTCCTGAGATTGTTGGCATGCCCCCTAAAAAATGGAGGCAGGGTAAGGGGGAAACGGTAGGACTCGTGAAGCTTTGGTTTGGATGAAGTGGAAATCGCAGTTTAGAAATAGAATTAGAGCTGGAAATCACTGCTTTTCCTTAGCGAGATTTTCTTCGATCTGAGAGTCAGGAGACTCCCTTCTTCATGGTATTGGTTTTGATACTGACTGACGGTGAGCTCTCAGTCAGTCATTTCCCCCTGTCTATCATAAGTGATGTTTCTATCGTTTCCTTGCCTTGTATGGCTGTCAAGATTTCACAGGATCCGAGCACCATCGAGGTAAGACAAGCATGAAAGACCAGCAGAGCACAACTGTTTATACTGTTTGCTTTTGCATTTGGTCTGTCCTCCAGCCCTGCCACTGACCATGCCCTGCTGGACGTGCCCTTCCTTCGACTCCCTGAGGAGATGCCCTCTGACCTCCGAGAGCAGCTGGACCACACATTCTGAAGACACCAGTAGCCCCAGTTTTGATCCCTCATACACAGACCTGCAGCTCCTCAGTGCCGAGGAGCAGATGAGTGGCAAGGCTTCTCAGGCTGGCTCAACTGGTAAGATGGAGCTCGGAGGGCTTTGCAGATCACTTTTGGTGACATTTTGCTGCTCTTAAAATCTCTGCAGCCAGCTTTGTTTGCAGAATGAGTTCCGTGCAGCCGTCATCCCGTTAAAAAGCTAGAATACAGAGTGGTTCAAGATTGCATTAGGAAAAAACACGTATACAGACTGGCTGATTGGTTGGCAGGGTGTTAATACTAGGAAACCATTTGACATTACATCTTAACGTGCTGTTTTCTACTCCAGTACAAACACTGTTCCTTGTCGGCTGATTTTCTCCTTGGATGACTGAACGATAGGTAATAGGCACAAGGCTGAATCTTTCATCCACTCACCTGTACACCTTCCCTTTTCAGCAAGAGGGAGATAGATTAAAGCAGAGAAAAAGCAAATGTTATGGGAAGCAGAATAAGAGTCAGGACTCAGCCACTGTGTCCAGACTACAAATCATGTTATTCTGTTGTCGGTGAGTCTGTCATATGCCGTGGTCTCATTTATTAGATTTCTGGTAGGTGTGAGAAGGACACCGCCTTGCTTTGCAGGTGGAATAATAGCCTGTTAACAAGCACGGCACTTGGTTAGGGTTAGCACGACGGCATTGGATAGGTGTAGTGTGTTCTTGGTGTATTATTTGGCCTAATGGATTCTTTTCCTTTAAAAGTGATAGAGTTGCCGATAATTTCTCTGTGGATGAATTTGCCAGGTGTGTCCAACAGTATTTGTTTTTCTCTCTCAAAAACATTGTTTAGGCATTTGTCTCTGGATCGTTTTTCAAATTTGGGTAACATTTGTCCTTAGGCTGTGTGTTATTACAGGGGTCTACGCATAGAGAGAGAGATTTCTTGTAGACTAAAGGTTCAGGCAGGATTTGGGTTGGTATCTGATATACTGCGAAGAATCCTAGTTTATCACAGTCTCTCTTCATAAGCCACAGTCCCTTGGAGCATTTTGTTTACATATACTCTCCATTCTGGTTAATCTCTGTGGCTGATGATCTCAGTCAGGGCCTGAAATATGTCCCTACAACCCCATCTTTACTGTGGGGGACCTTTCATGGAAGGTACCATCAGAAGCTGAGGCAGTTAGGAAGAGGCTGTACGCCCCCATCCCCGGCCCCCCGCCTGCCTTCGCTTCTCCTCACTCTCAGCTGCCTTTCCAGGCCTTCCCATGGGGGGTGCGTATAACACTCGGGTTAGGAGCATGCAGACTGGGGTTAGACTGCTCAGATCCTCCTTCCATTTATCAGCAGTGTGACCTTGGGCAAGATCATTAATATCTTTATGACTCCATGCCTCACCTGAAAAGTGGAGATAATAGTCATGCTTACCAAGTTGTTGTTGTCAGATCCAAATGAGACAGTCTTTGTAGCTGGTTTCTTCTTTCTCCTGCCCTGGGATTCTTACTGCTTCAGAAAGGCGGAGGTAGGCTCTCCACTGTAGAAAAGTCAGGATCTCTAGGCTCAGGCTGTTTTTTCCCAGTGACCTATCTACTTAGATGAAAATTGCTTCAATTCCTAGAGGTTCCTGAGCTGGACATGATTAATCTGTCTCCAAAGCTTATAATTATTTTCAGTATCTCCCTTTTCTGATGTCAATTTAACAGTATTACAGTTCCCCTGAGAGAACCTCTTCCCTCATTGTTTTGGTCAGGGTCCTGGCAGGAGGCAGATGGCATCTTCAAAAAAGTTTTATCTGAAGAGGGTTTAATGAGAGGACTGCTTACAGAGGCAGCCGGAGCTAGAATCATGGAGGAGGGACTATAGGAAAGACAGAGCCACTGCCCAATATTTGGTGGAGTGGGGAGGGAGCAGGGAATAAATGCCTAGATCTTGTGCTGGTGCTTCCTCCTGGCAGATCCCAGCTGAAAGTCAAAGGGCACAGGGCCCTTCGGAGGCAACCCCTCAGAGGTCAGCCCTCAGGCCATAGAGCTGCTGGAGAAGAGGGGGAGAATGGATTTAGGATAAGGGCACGGGTGAAGCAAATGCAGAAAAGCCAACACACTTTGGTCTCCACCAGGAGCTCAATGACCTGTAGTCTAGGGTCACCCTGGAGAAGCAAAGGCAAAACTCGGACTGTAGAATGAGGAGTGATACTCTTAGTTCTCTCCTTCAGCAGGAGACAGTTTCTATAGCTACGGGAGGCTAGTGGTATGGCCTTTTGGCAACCATCCTTTCTAACAAACGTAATGATAGATCACAGCCAGCCCTTCCTGAGTCTGTGCTATGTGCTAGAATATGACGTGTGCCATCTCAGGCCTTGACAGCAGTCCTGCAAGGCGGAGAGCTTTCTCCCCCTTTCCTAGTTGATCCTGAGTCTAGAAGGTAAGAAGCTTATCCGAGATAATACCAATAAGAAATGGATGAACCTGGATTTCAACCAAAGTTCCAGTCTTTCACCATGATTCCCAAGCCTGGAGGTGCCCGGGAGTCATCATGTTTATCATTTTGCTGTGTTACCTTCCAGACCTTCTGAACAGATACACATATTTTGCCATGAGGTTTATTTAAGAAAAAAAAATTTTTTTGAAGATTTATTTATTTGAGAGAGCACTTGTGCACACATGAGTTGGGGGAGGGGCAGAGGGAGAGAATCTTCAAGCAGACTCACTGCTGAGCCTGGAGCCCGATGCGGGACTTGACCTCACAACCCATGAGATCATGACCTGAGCCAAAACCAAGAGGCAGACGCTTAACTGACTGAGCTACTCAGGCGCCCCAACCATGGGGTCTATTTTTGACATAAATAGAATCAAAAGGTTTTTAAATAAGATGTATCTTAGGTGTAGTCTGAGGAAAAAGTTCCTGTTTCCTTAACAGATATGAGTGCTTCTAGATAACTGCTGTGTGTCCATAGTATTGTGTTATGTAAACAAGCTTCTGGATGCTGGAAAACAAATCTCCTCATTCTTTAGTAATCAGCCGAGGGCCAGGCCCAGGGGAATGCCTCCATCTCCTCACTTCCACCCACTCTCTTCAGGCCCAGAGGTGGCAAGCAGCATGCCTTGGGGCCCTGGAAAAATGAGAGGCAGTGAGGTGAGTGGCTCAGGCTGTGTGGACAGTGTCTGGATGCAGCCCCAGGTAGAGAAACCCCTGGATCCTTTCTGAACAACCCGACCTGTGTAGTCAGGGTGGATTTCGGCTTTGAACAGCCTTTAACTCATCCTGGATAAGGAAGAAAAGGTTTAGGAGAATGACCAGATACTTCTAACCCTGTGGCATTTATCTTTTTACTTTAGTAGCAGGGAATTTATAAATGCTTTCATTTGAGCTATTGAAAGCTCTGGAAAGCCCCCCAGTCATGGACTACCTGTCCGTCCCTGGGCACCAGGCCTGTGCCAGTGGCCAACCTCGTGGAAGGGTCTCCTGGGAGGCTGGATGGTCCAGTGAAGGTAAACTAAATCCTCGGGAGGGTAGGGAGCAGATTCTGGTCTGTGTGTGTCTCTGGGCCCGTCCTCTCCCCGGAGCTGCCGTTCCTCACCTGGGAAGTGGGGCCGAGTTTCCCTGGCCAGGCTGGGCAACAGGCCGTGTGTGCAGCTGCTTCACTCAGTGCAGAGGGCAGCAGGAATTTTTTAAAAATCTTAATTTCACAGCTCTGGGCCTCATTTCCCTTTGACATGGGAAATAAGGATAATTACTGCCCCAAAGAGGCCAGCAAACCATACGTGTGGTGGGATGACACCTGAGAAGTCTTCAGAAGTGAGCCAGAGGGATGTGTAGAGAGAGGCTGTGGGAAGTTGCTTTCTGTACCGAGGGCTTGAGGGTCCTGGGGAGCAGCTGTCTTGGGGAGACTTTTGGTTTTTGCCCCCTGCCCCGTGCTTTTAGCATGGCAGCGGGAGGCACAGAGGGGGAAGACCTGCAGCCTCCATCAGGAGCGGCCTGGGCCCAGCTGCCCTGGGCTTTCCCTGGCAGCCCGCTGTGCGAGCCTGCAGCTGGGCCAGAAGCTCTGTGATTCATCTCCTGTGTGCAGAAGGTTCTGGGGGCCCAGGCCCAGCCTGTTTACCTTGGCCCCACTGATCTGAGCTGGGCTGACCCAAGCCTCGGACTCCTCCCTGTCGTCGGCCTCAGGGTTTCTGCAGGGGGTTGGCAATCCCGATCCCAGGCATACTCGTGCGAGGGCAAGACTCTGTGATCAACCTGCACTCTCTTCTCGTTTTCTCACCAAGGTGGGGGGTAATTAGGAGGAGGAAGGCAAACATATCCCCTCACCTTGGTTACATCATAGGATACGGGGCAGAGCTGGAGAGCATGTTGATATTTGCCCTGGGATTCAGCTCTCCAGAGCACATTGTGGGAGAACTGGGAACAGGCAGAACTTTACTAACACTTGTTTACTCTCTTGCCCCCTGCCTCCCCGGGGGCCCTCCTTGCCCTGGACGACAGGCACACCCTGTCATCTTCACCAGGCAGCCTCGCTCTGAAACACCGATAGTTTCACATGGGACGATAAACAGGAAGAGTGTCGGGGGAATAAAAATAAGCCTTTGGAAGTCCATGGCAAGCAGGAAAGAGAAAACACAGAAATGTCTGCAGGAGCACACTCTCCTGTTAAGTGGTGGGCTTCCATTTTGGTTTTCTTTTACGTACAAGAGAAGGGGAGAGTTCGAGTGTAGGATGAGAACCCTCAGTTTGCATCAAGCCTGGATAAAGCTCATAGCAGGTGTTTAATAATTGTCCGTTGAATGGATCCTTGAATGAAGGGAGTGAGACTGCAGGTGGGGAGTCATCTGCATCCCAGACATCCATGTCCCATTGGAGTTTAAGAGTCCAGCATTCCCTGCCAAAGGTATCCCATGTGGCAGCTCAAGAAAAACCAAGATGCCAGGGGCCCGTATGTCAGGTCATGCTAGGCCCCCTCTGTTGGAGATTCATAGCGAGTGTTAGATTATTAAAGACTTTCAAAAGTTCTGAAATTGTATGTAGGTGTGTATATGTGTAATTTCTATGTATCCATATAGGCTCATAATTTCTATGTGTACCTGTACACACATATATTTATGT